GGACTTAGGTGCTGGGATGTGAACCCAGGTCTTCTGTAAGAGTAGGAAGTACTCTTAATCCCTGAGCAATCTTTCTACTCCGGGGAGTATTCCTGACCTCTTCTCTCAGACTTCCCTCCAAACTTGAATCCTATAAAGCCTTACATATTGGCAGCCTTTGATGACACTTGCCTTTGTGATACTTACCAACCCTCAGTCTCCACTGGAGGGTACCACCTTGATGCTTGGACTAACTTTGCCTTCACCTACCTTTGCTGCCCCATCTGTGCTCCATGAGGTTGTTATACCATCCATCAAATCGCTGTACCTCCCAAGAGATGGAGTTCTGAGCTCCTGTGTGAGAATAAAGGGAAAGAGGTAGCTGTGCAGATGCAAGCAGAGGGGACCAAGCAGGTCACCAGGGAGCAGGGCCTGTGATTCTGTACTTGAAAGAGCAAGAGGAAGAAATACGGCCCAGAGGGAGAAACCAGGACAAAGTGCTGTCTAAACTAAACTCAAACCTTCCCTTCAAGCCACCCAGTGAGGAAGACTTGAATACTAAAATGGGAAATGGTGCACGAGCATGTAATACGGTGCCTCTAACAAATGGCCTCCAAGGAGAAGGAGAGCAGCGGCAACCTGGAAGAGGATGCACAAGCTCAGACTCCTTATATTTCCAGTCCTTGGGAGACACAGCAGAACAAAAGTCATTCCTAGCCCTCAGATACCATGTGGAACAAGAGCCAGCCACACCCTGTAACTGAGAAGGACAAGTCATCCTGTGACCCATCATCACTGGGCAGGAGCTGTGTGAAGAGGGGCTTGGCCCTCTCCCACTGAGCAGAGCCCCAAGGCAGGGTTGTGTTACTGCCACTCTGGTCTTCTTCCCAGTTTCTTGGGTGAGACCAAGGATTGTTCATGTGGATGACCTTGCCCCTTCCTCCTTTGGAACATCTTGTCCCTCCTTTCATTCCTCCTCCTCCTTCTAATTTATTTATTCTGTCTGTTTGGGTATTTTGCCTACACGTGTATCTGTGCACCACACACATGCCTGGTGCCCAGGAGAGGGCAGACCCCCCTGGAATTAGAGTTGCGTACAGTTGTGAGCTGTCATATGGATGTTGGAAATTGAACCCAGGTCTTCAGAAGAGCAGCCAGTGCTCTTAACTGCTGAGCCTCCATTCCAGTCCCAATTCCTGTTTATAAAGCTGCTGTAAAAACCTGCAGTCCCAGAGAAGCATTTGGCTGTTAGGTGGAAGAGCTGACAAAGCAAGACAAGAAGGGAAGGTCTAGAATCTTCTTGATCAGTAGATCAGGTGACTAGCCAGACCCCCCGTCTCCCCAAAAAACTAGAAGACTTCTCTGCTCGCCTGAGTGAATGGAAGACAGAGCTCCAGCAAGAGGAAGCCCCATTCCTCTTATTGTCCTTAGACCAAAAAACAGTATTTTCAAGCTGTGGGTGTTGCATGCTCGATGGCTTGCACACAGATGTACATACAGACACACTCACCAGGGTCAGGAAGGAAACAGACTAAAGCTCTGATATTTGAACCCAGCTAAAGATCTTGGATAGTAGGACAGCCTACACAAGACCTCTAAACTATAATGAACTTGTGGTAGGCCAAGGAAGGAGTCTTCAGGGAAGAATATATCTTAGTGATAAGAGGCAATAGCTGGGAGAAAAAAAAATGAAGCCCCAAGGAAAGGAGAGTGCTAGAAAGAACTCAAATGTGAGCAGTTTTGGCAAGGGAGAATGTAGGGTTCATATCACTGTCTTACCACCAGCAGCCAGGAGGTCCTGCTTCATAAGGTCCATCTTTGTTGATCATTTTCCAAGATGTAAAACATCTTCAAGGTTTGCTCTTGTTTGATTGTTTTGAGACAGTCTCAAGTAGCCCAGACTGATCTTGACCTTAAATGGTTGGTCCTCTTGTCTCTATCTCCAAATGCTGGGATAGCTGGTGTGTGCAACCACCACCACACCTGGCTAGAGACTTGTTTCTTTTAACCTACCTTGTACCACTGTGGGTCTTCCCTCTTCAGAGCTCTGGATTATAGGGAACAGCCACTAGTTCTAAAGCTCTCAGACTTCTAAAGGTGGAATTACTGTGGGCCATATTGTGTTCTTATGCTATTATTTTATTTCTCTTTTTTCAGCACTGGGGATTAAACCCAAGGCCTCATGTATGCTGGGTGAATGCTCTACCATTGACTTATGTCCCCTGCCTAAGAGCACTTTATTTTAAAAAACACTGGGGACTCCTCTTTAGCTTTGGGTTCAACTTTACCCCCAAACACTTTATTGTCTCATGTGTCTACTCAATCTTTCCTATTTCAAGTCAGGAGATGTTAACTTATCAAAAAGGATAGAAGACAAAGGAGAAAAAAGGGGCATATACTAGAAGAAATAATTCAATTACCTACCCATTTATTCAATAGCTAGAAACAAGAACCTGGCATGCACAGTGGCACAGTGTACTATATCTTCTTGAGACTAAGGATGCAGAAATGACTGAGCGCCTCTCTGGAGAAGACCAGAGGACATTGGTTCCTCTGCTACTATGCAAGCTTCTTTTCCAGTCTGTACTCACCCAAACAGGCCGATGTTCCAACCAGGAAGATCCAAGCCAGAAGCAGGCAGAAACTCATGAGGAAAATGGTAATGAGGGATTAAATGTTGGAATACTTCAAAGTAGAGACCTAGAAAAACACAGGATAGGAGAATGAGCCCAGCTGTTCAAAAGAATCAGGATAAGGCTTAGGCAGGGCCTCTAAGAATCAAGCTGGGCCCATGTGGCTTGGACAGCAAAAAGCAAGAGACTCAATCTCTTAGAAAGTCCCTCGTTCGCTCAACAAATAACCGATGAGCACGTGCTGTGTACAGAGCTGGCCTTGACTCAGGAAACTAAGTGATGCACAAAACAAAGCCAACCTTGCCCTTGGGAACCTTAGTTTCTGAGTAGTTGAAACCCTTGCTTTGGCCCAGATGCCCACACAGTCTGCTCCACTGCCAGGGCCTGGCTTGGGCAGAGGGATCTGTGAGAGTGGGCTGAGGGCTCAGGTTTGCTGCTCATCCCCTGTGGGGTCTGAGGTAAGGACATGTATTTAATGCAACCTTGTCATCCTGGTGGTGGATGTGTCTGAACTGCTTGCCTCCCAGAACAGTGATCAGACTCTGAGGTGTTGGTGAGCCTGAATTCAAATCAAGAAGACTGACAGGTGTCATACAAATTCCACAGAGACTGAAGCATGCCTCCTGTAAGTAGACTCAAGACGGGTGACACTTGCTTATTTTTTAATTCAGCTTTCTCTCCACAGGCCAACAAGCCATGTAGGACAACGGGGATACAGAGGCAGCGGGCTCTGGATAGTTGGAAGTGTTGAGTCGAATATGGTGGCATGGCTGGCCATGGTTGTGCCTCCCTAATCCAAACAGGCAGACCTCTTTCCCTTCCAATCAAGTCTTCAGGAACCTAGACTCCAAAGGTCGATATAGCACCCCATCTCTAATGACCTGTGGGCTTTCAGGCCACACTGTGGGGACACCCTAGAAAGGAGAGTGGCCATGCTGAAAACCTCTTTGTGGGTAGGTGGCCCTTTACAGTTTACACAAGACACTTGGGTGTGGTAACTTCCCAAACAATCTGCAACAGGGCAGTGAAGCCCCAGGCAGTGGCAGACTCTGGGAGAGTACAAGCCTGCCCCACGTGGCCCTGTTTCCCGACCACAGTCTTAGAATGATGATTCTGTTGGTCGCGGGGTGGGAATGAGAGGGAGATGAGTTAAGATCACAGAGATTCCAAACTAGAAGACTGAAGAGCAGGGAGCGATGCCTGTATACTGAAGACCCCAAAGTCCCTCCTTGGCATCAGGTGCTGTTGTCAAGGAATCCTTTAGGCCCAAACAAACTAGGTCACTCAGCATATCAGGACCAGATGACCCTGGTTTTCCAAAACCTCGGTGTGCTGAGCTCAGGCTTTAGCAAGGTCCCTTATGGTCTCAGGGAAAGAGTGAGGTGCAGGAGGCTACAATTCCCATGCTGTTGAAAGGAGGCCCACCGGTGCTCTTTTCCCTCAGCCCCCGCCCTTAGAGCCCCCTCCCTCGGAGCACCCATTCCTGCGGGCCCTGAGAAACTATCTTGGATCTGACCTTAGCTTGCTTCTGGTGCCCCAGCCTGGGACCGCGGACGGCTCCGGCTGACTCCGGGTTCGCTGTAGCCCGCTGGGTTCTGGCTGCCTCTCCAGCTCTGAGCAGGGGCGGGCGGGGCTCGGGGCTGAAGAGCGGATAGCGCGTCGGGGCTCTGGGGCGGGGCACAGCAGGGCGGGATAGAGGCCCGCGCGGGACCCGCCAGGCGCTACTAGGGGACCCGAACGAACGAGCAAGCCTGGAAGGTGAGACCATGGGGATACTGGGCTCCTGTGGCACCTAGGGTTCAGGCAGTGTGGCCGTGTGGGAGGCGGGAGGGCAAGTTTCCCTCCGCAAATTGGAGGGGACTGAGAAGAGGGTGGAAGATCCGAGAGGCAGGGGAACTGTTCCCAAATCCTCACACAGTCGGTGCCAGGGTTCTGAATCAAAGATAATCATCCAACACCTCCTACTGATCAGACCTGGCTCCAAAGCAAGGTTCCCAAAACCTGTAAGTCTGGGTTATCCAGGGTTCCTGGTGGCCTCCCAGGTCTCACCGTCCTGCGAACCTGGTCACTAGGTTTGCATTACAGCTGCCCAGGGTGCTGTCGTGGGTAGGGTATAGGTCTCAGGGGTGGATACAGAGGGCACAGGAGCTGGGGCATTGTCCTAGTACTCCAGTCCATCTGGTGTCTGAGCACCGGGTACCAGAGCCGAGAAAGTTGAAAATGACTTGCAATAGAAGGCAGGGGAAGACATCAGGCCGGGTTGGTGGGGTCATTACCTGGTCCACAATTGAGTTAGAAGAATGGGAGGTTGAAAGAGACCCTGGAGGGACAAAGTGAATGTTTTTGGTGACAGAACATTTATTGACTTCTGGATCGGGTTCTGGCCCTATCCCCACCACCAGGAGCGTTGCAAGTGAGTTCCCAAAGGAAGAGATGAACGGCGGTGCAGGGTGCCACACACACAGTATCTGAAAGAGGAAGGTAGGAAATTATGGATCTTGTGTGGGCACGGGGTCTATTCGGTTTCTATGCGATCCGATTTTGGAGTGCTGCTCCGATACCGACACCTAGGGGCGCACTTCTTCAGTCTGCACAGACTAGATTACTGAGGGGTGGGGATGTAAAAGAGAAAGTTTGACAAGAAATTAAAAGAAGGCGAACTTCTTAAGGCTATAAAAGTCACGAAATTTATCGACACTGAACTTTTATTTCTTTTAACTGGAGTCTGGGTAGGTTGGATTGCTCAGTTCCCCATCCTGAGTTCATTACAGCCTCTCCCTGGGGAATTCTCTCTCTCTCTCTCTCTCTCTCTCTCTCTCTCTCTCTCTCTCTCTCTCTCTCTCTCTCTCCTCTCTCTCCTCTCTCTCTCTCTCGTCCCTTCCTTCCTTTCCTCCCTCCCTCCCCCCTCTCACACTCACCTCTACCTTCCTTAAAAAGGAGGACTAGATATTCTTGAAAAGGGCTCCCTTTAGCCAGAGCTGTAAAATTTCAATGAGTTTTTACTTTGGTCAGAGAAATAAACTAACACATTCTGATAGGTATGCATCATCCACCATGTGCTTGACATTATTAGGTATTTCACATAGGGAGCTAGCAGTCCTTTCTCGGGGGTGGGGCAGGAGGGGAGAGGAAGGCTTTAGGAAGAAAACCGTGTCAAGCTTCAGGAGAGGTTCCAGATCACCTACCAAACTCATTGACAACGCTGGGGCTTTGCCAGGCTGGGTTTCCTTCAAGACTGTTAATTTTTATATTTACCCATCCATCATATAGACACTGGAAATCCACTACATAAGGACTAGATAACTGCATCTGGAATACTACTGAACATGGGGGAATGCCTTTAGTACTTAAAGGTTGCCCACCAGGCCACGTGAGAAAATAGAACCTCAAAGTGAAGGAAATTGCCCTTCTCAGTGAGAAAGTACCCAGGTCATTACAGGAGCCCCTGTGAAGAACTGTAGGAATCTGTGTTACTGAGCATGACAGAGTCATGGTGCGCCTGCCTGCCTGCCTGCCTGCCTGTCTGTGCTTATGTAAGTTTGTAGGTGTGTATTTGACTGTCTTGTGCCTGCCTATGTGCATCACTATAGACTACATGTATGCATCAGTATAGACTACAGTCCTGGCAGTGAGCTGAGGGACCGGTGGCTATAGTTACCGTTGATGTGAGATTTTGCTAGGCTAGAACCAGTTCTGCTGTCAGACTCCACTTGTCAAGCCTGAAAGGGAAAGATGGTCCCAAAAGAAACATGGGCTTTGTTGGAAACATGGGGTTCTGCAGCTTTTGTATTTCAGTCCACCTCTTCATGCAGGAGCCCTGTTTGCATAATAATGAAACCAAATTAGGGTCAGTCATGGAAATTCAACTTTACTGCATCAGGCAGTGTAGAATAAGGAATATCTAAGCCATGCAATTGCACGATTAATGAAACAGACCAAGCAAGGTAAGTTGTAGTCACCAACTATCATTTGCTCTAGTCATCCTTAATACATATTTTGGAGAATCAGAAATGTTAACAATGTCCTTCTCTGTACTTGAGATACAAAAAAACCTTTTGTCAGTGTTTCTTTGATGCAGCATGTTAATAGAGATGAGCCATACTCACAAAGCTTTTATAACCTCTCATTAAAACAAGCACAGGAATACTAAGTATATGTGATCCCGACCAAGATGCATTAAGTTAGTTAATATCTGCTTACATTGCAGATACCTGTTGTTGGAATTCAATCATATAATGCGGGTTCTTCAATTTTTCAGTGTGTGTACATCTATGCATGCATGCTATGGCATGAGTGCAGACATCAGAAGACAATTTTCAGAAATCAGTTCTTGCCTTCCACCATGTGGGTGCTAAGGATCAAACTCGGATTTCCAGGCTTGGCAACAAGCACCCTCACCCGCTGAACCACTTCACTGGCTCTAATATGAGTTCTTTCTGCGAACAGTCTTGCTTTATCTTAATTCATATCTTTTCTTCTCCCTTTCCTCTCCTCCTCCTCGTTACTATTGCTATCACCATTATTATTATTATTAATTATTATCATATAGCCTTAGATTGCCTGGAACTCACTGTGTAGATCAGGCTAGCTTCAACTCAAAAAGACCTGCCTGCCTTTGTCTCCCAAAGGCAGAATGTGCCACCACACCTGGCTATCCTAAAACTAAGACCTAAAGCCGGCTACATTGTATAGCTCTTTTTCCTAAATAGACTTTATTAGAAATGGTTTCAGTTTGGGCATCATAAATAAAAATTAGCTATAACAAAAAAAATGCTTTACAATAAATGTCATTGGCCAGCAAGAAGGCTCATCTGGTAAAGACACTTGCTGGCTATGCCTCCAAACCCATACAAAAATGGGAAGAAAGAACCAATTCTACAAAGATGCCATTTCGATTCTGCATACATACTGTGGGAAGTATATATATATATATATATATATATATATATATATATACACACACACACACACAGAGAGAGAGAGAGAGAGAGAGAGACTAATAAATACTAACATTTAAAAATAAAATGTTACTGTTCATTATTTTATTAAAAACAGTTCTATTTTATTTTTAAAATTATGTGTATTGGTGTTTTACAGGTATATATGCCAGTGTACCATGTACATGACTGTTGCCTACAGAGGCCAGAAGAGGGCATTAGATCCCCTGGAACTGGAGTCACAGACAGTTGTTGAGATGCCATGTGGTTGTTGGGTCCAGGTTCTCTGCAAAGAGCTGCAAGTGCTCTTAATTAACCTCTGAGCCACCTTTCCAGCTGCTTATCTATACATTTTCAGCTGAGCTTACAATGTATGCTTCATGTTCAACTAAATACAACATTTATGCTTTTGTCTTTACTATTCTTAAGGACTCTAGCTACTAGAAGAGGATCTCTAGACAGATTTTTTTTTTTTTTTTTTGAGGTTATTAGATGTAGATAAGGTTCATCAGATCCCTTCTTGTGCAGCTTTTAGCCTTGTATTGGTGGCACTCAGTTAATATGAGTGAGAGTACAGTGTGGGTACTGAGAGAACATAGCTCCCTCTCGTGTGAAGACTCAGAAGGAGGCCCTCCTGGGAAGAACTCATCCATATTCATTAATTTGATCCAGAGTTTGATTAGAATATGCTACATGCAGATGATGCAAAGACGGGAAGATTAAATCTGTGCCCTCAAGAAGACTCTGTCTGAAGAGGAGACAAATATTCATTCAGAGTGATGGAGTACAGTAATTATTGTGATTATGAGATATGCTCAAAACACAACAGGAGAGTTAGAAACCTTCCTTCCCATTGGTCCAGTGGCCACAGAGAAGGTAAGTGAGCTGAGATTTGAAGTGAGAAAAGGCATTTGCCAAGGGTGGAACAATCCAGATAGAGGAAATAGCACATACAAAGGCAAGAAAGCTTGGAGAAGATGCCAGCCATGGAGAGGGAAAGAAGGGGCGCTGCCCATAAAGCACTTTATATGTGATAATAAGAAACTTAGATTTTACCAGGGCAGAGAAGTGAAATGATTATATTTGTCTATTAGAAACTTGTCTTCTTGCACCAGGCAAGAGAGGATGGGACTAAAATCAGCAGAGGCAGTAACGAAGGCAACCAATGGAAAATTTCAAGAAATACTCAGAGGGCAGGGTAGCCTGGTTCTGGCATCATTGACTAATGGATGACAGTGGAGCTAAAAAGGAAAGAAAATAGAATAAAGACAGAACAGCAGAGAATTCCATTAGGAGCCTGTTAAATTTGAGACATCAAAGGATATCCAAGTGAAAAAACTCATGAGGTAGTTGGCCCTTTTGAGAGCATGATAAGCCACGGGAACAGATGAGACTACCCAGATATTATTTTGTTTTGTTTCAAAAGAGGGTCTTCGCTTAGCTCAGGCTAGCCTGAAACTCTCAATCTTCTTGCCTCAACCTCTTCAGTGCTGGGTTACAGGGGTGCGCCACCACACTGGGCTATCCAGGAAAACCTTGAATGACTAGAGGAAATGAATTGTGACAGAATCCTGAGCAGAATAAAAACCTAATAGAGAGGAAGAAGGAAAAGAAGCCTACATAGGGTGGCCAATGATAGGAGACCCAGAAAACATGGTGTTGTGGAACCAAAGAGTGAGTTTCAAGAAAGAAGATGTGTTCTGCAGTTTAAAGGGTTTTAAAAAGTGAGACTTTCCTTTTAGGTTGTTTATTGATGTAATGCCAAAGATCAGGATGCAGATAAATTAGGTCACAACAGGTTAAGGCAACAAGGACTAGGTAAGAACATGGAAACACCAACACCAACTATTCTGTCAAAAATCCTGGCTGTGAAAAGGAGAGAATAGGACCAAACAGTGAGTGGAGGTCAAGAAAGTGTGTGTGTGTGTGTGTGTGTGTGTGTGTGTGTGTGTGTGTGTGTGAGCTGAGATGGGAGAAATTTCAATCTATCCTTGGGAGAAGGAGGCAGCAGAGAATGAAAAGCTGTGAGGGCACATGGGTAACTGATGTTAAGGTGGTTGTAGAGAAGTTGGGGACGGAAGGGGGGGATGGCGCTGTTCAGGAGGATCTGCAGAGCTGGAGAAAAGATGGATATTTCTCCAGGAAGGACGAGTTGAGCAATTAAAAACAAAGCAAAACTTTCACATTAAAAACTGAGGTTGCAGTTGTAGGACCTGCCCAAAAGACAGAATTAAAAATTAAGCTATAGGTCTCTCTGTCTCTTTGCCTGATACCAAGCACTCCCTGTTTGTTTCCAACAGTATTCACTGCACTTTCCTTATCCTCACAATGATCCTTTAAAGTAAACATTATTATTTCTGATTTTATTTTTCCCCAATAAAACTACACAGAGGTGAAGTTGCAAAAGACAGAGGCAGGTTGCACACCCTCTGGAGCTGTTTGACTCCAAAGCTGCTCCCTTTTCTTTCCCACTTAACGAGACTGTCCCTGCTCAGATTAAAGTGCAAATTCTCCGGGGCAATGTGAGCCCCCAGTGCAGATCATACTTGGAAGAATGAACAGAACTGGGACAGTGAATCTAAGGTTGTTTTTTTTTTTTTCACCCAATTTTTACCACAATGGCTATGACGGTTTAATTTGACAATACTTTCTTTCTTCATGATTGCGAAATAATAGTCTAAAAACTAATGAAATGACCAGGTATCATCTTACTAATGTCCTGTGTACAAAGGGACAAGAGTCAAGCAAGCTCTAAGATCAATCAAGTGACAGGCAGAGAAGAAAGACCAAAGCCAATATTTGAGTTCAAGTACCACACATAGGGGATGCGAATGAAAGAAAAGGGTCTATGTTGGTGATGTATGGAATAGGGGGACATCTGGTCCCAGCCCTGTGCCTCCTGCCTGTGCTAGAGCCTGGGAGGGATAAAAGAGAGTTCTTTTTCTTCAGATATTCCCAGAAGAAACAGAAAAGGCCCAAAGGTAATGATGACACTTATCTAAAGGATAAGTAGTTAGGAGTAGTTAGGAGGGAACCATGGGGCTGCAAAGACTGATTGCCAAGACCCTGAATCTGGCACAGACAAAAGATGGGGGGGGGGTGGATGATGGCTGACAGACAGTGGAATAGCAGATCAGAAGGCACCCCAACCCCCCAAAAAGGACTTCAGAGATGACAGGTCTGGGTTGGTTTATTCGATGAAGCATCCCCAACCCCACTGTAGTGTTGGGTACACAGAGGGTACCCAGTGAATGCCTATTGTTGCAGCATCTCCACTCTGCACACCCCCAACAAAATGGCTGCTCTTGGACACACACTGCCCTTCTACACTGGCCCCAAACCAACCTTTCCGATGGACACAGCTTTGGCTGTTATAATCACCATCTTTCTGACTGCACTGGTTACCTTTATCATCATCCTGCCTGGCATCCGTGGAAAGACGGTAAGAAACAAACCCAGCCCTGTAGATCCCAGCCCCAGGGAGGATTTCAGCTTCAAGAGTGAGGAGTCCAGACTCTGTCTAGAGGCAGACTCAGGACAGGAACTCCCGTGCTGAGAAAGCCCCATTACCATCCCCAGTGCAGTCCCCCACTCACCGAACCAACCCATCAAGGATGGTTTTGTGCAGGACACTCTGATCTTAATTGACGAAATTGGCTCAGCTGTAGAACCCCTGTCCCTCCCTATCTTAGAAAGGGCGAACACAAATGGAGGGGCTATGTTTACTAACCCCACCCCACCTCCACTCCCACCCCCATCCGCACCCGTCTCAGAGGCTGTTCTGGATGCTGCGGGTGGTGACCAGCTTATTCATCGGGGCTGTGATCCTGGGTGAGTACCAAATGCCACAGACTTGGAGCTGCTCCAGCCTGTGAGGTTTCCTTTTTGGCCTGACTCTCTTCTTCTTGCTTCTCCATAGTGGTGCCTTCCAGATACAGCCCACATACCTCTCTCACCATGGTTTTAGCCCCTTACTCTTCTCTTCCCCTTACCCTAAAGGTGTGGGCCAGGGAAGTCCTGGAGGAGCCATCTTTTCAATCTACCTACTATTTTTATTTGGGTCATCATGAATGTAGGCAGGAGGACTCAGGGAGGGTTGTTTGTTTGGCTTCAATGATTAGGGGAATAGGAACAACAGATCATTTTTATTGAAGTTGTCTGTGTTTGTCCATCAAGGTCTATGTTAATGCTTCCTTAGCAGTTTCGTGGGTGGCTGTCCATAAATGGGACTGGGAGAGGCAAGCAGAGTGAGAACATGGAAAATTTTAGATTCTGACCCTTTTCTTCATCCCACAATAGTGGTTGGCAGACTTAGTATGAGCCAGGCCTGGGCTAGTGAATGGGTATACAATTATGACAAGTTCAGGCATGGAGCCCTTGTAGCTTCCCCTCTGACTAACAAAGCCAGTAATGCCCAGACCTTCCTGAGTTGCAACTCCCCAATCCCAGCTGTGAATTTCAGTTCTGAGTGGTCTGTGGGCCAAGTCAACACCAACACGACATACAGAGCCTTCAGTCCCAAGTGGGTGAGCGTGGACGTGGGTCTGCAGATTGGACTTGGAGGAGTGAACATCACACTCACAGGTGAGGGTTCTAGCTTGTGAAGGAACGAAGGCTCTGCTGGGTGTCTTTGAGATGTATTTTGTGTGTTGTATAGAACTACCACGTGCCTAGCACTGGAGCTTGGAAGTGTAAGAGTTGAGGGGAAGGGAAATTCAGAGCTGTCTCTTCTGTCAGCTGTCAGCTCTTGGCTTTCTGCCAGTGTGAATGAACTCCTTACCCAGGTGAACGGTCCAATCCAGTTCTTGGGTTTCTGCTAAGCACAGCTACCCTATTCCTCAGGGACTCCAGTGCAGCAGCTGAATGAAACCATCAACTACAATGAGGAGTTCAGGTGGCGCCTAGGTGAGAACTATGCAGAGGAGTATACAAAGGCACTGGAGAAGGGACTTCCAGACCCGGTGCTCTACCTGGCTGAGAAGTTCACCCCTCGAAGCCCATGTGGCCTGTACAACCAATACCGCCTGGCAGGACACTACGCTTCAGCCATGCTGTGGTGAGCACAGATATGGGGTGAGATGGCCCTACTAGCCTAAACACAGGCACAGATTCTCTAGCACCTCAAGGGGGTACCCTGACTGGAGAAGCTGGCATCAGTAACCTTAGGTCTTGGTTGGGAAGCCCACAGGCAAGAGTGCCCCTTCACGTATTTGGGACAGCCTCCATCTGGGCCGTCGTCCTTTCTAGCAGGTAGAGGTGCCTGGGCCAGTCCTCACTGTGTCTTGGCTCTCCAGGGTGGCATTCCTCTGCTGGCTGCTGGCCAATGTGATGATGTCTATGCCTGTGCTGATTTATGGTGGCCACATGTTGCTGGCTACTGGCCTCTTCCAGCTGTTGGCTCTTCTCTTCTTCTCCATGACCACATCTCTCATCTCACCCTGTCCCCTACACGTGGGCACTGCTGTGTTGGACACTCATCATGGGCCCGCTTTCTGGATCACGTTGGCCACAGGTAAGACCCTTCCCTAAAGGTAAAGGCTCAGGATGGAGGTGAGGGTCTATCGTGTTGGTGGGTGGAGGGTCTGCTCCTAGAGATGGAGGTGTTTACAGTCCCTTCCTTTTTAACTCCCTCATCTTCTGGCTTTCTCTCTCCAATGCCATTCATCCTTGTCTGTGCTCACTTCTCTGTATCTTCTCTGTCACATCCACACCCCTAACTCTCTTTACTCAAGCCCTTTCAAACCTTCTGGTTGTGTGTCCCCTCCCGCATCCCCTAACCACAATTCTCATCTTTTCCTAGATCCCGTGTATGTCCCCACCTCACACTACTCCAAATGCCATAAGTCAATCTGTCTTAGTTTTATTCTCCTACTGTGTTCTGTTTACTCACCCATATCATCTTCATGTCTTCTTCTTTTGTCCCCATCTGTCCCTATTTTCAGTCTGTCTTCCTCTCTCTGTCTCAGTTTGGGGTATGAAAATTCAGGACAACAGACCTATACCAGCAAAATAGACCCTAGGACATTCAGTTAGCTCTTTGAATTCCAGTTACCCCGAGGCAGGGGCCCAGGATTCCCTTACAGAGTTCTGGTGTTCTTAGAAGATATTCTTGGGAGGATCTACTAGAGCATGTGTCACCTTCATCCTCAGGACTGCTGTGTATCCTGCTTGGTCTAGTCATGTCAGTGGCCCACAGGATGCAACCTCACAGACTAAAGGCTTTCTTCAACCAGAGTGCAGAGGACTCAGTGCTGGAATGGGGTTCTGAGGAAGGGGGACTCCTGAGCCCCCGCTACAGGTCCATGGCTGAGAGTCCTGAGACCCAGGACATTCCCATGTCAGAGGCTTCCTCTGAGACATGTTTTAAGGAGGAACACATCAAAGAGTCTGAATGCACCCTGTAACACGCCTCTACTGATAGCCACAGGAGTTTCCAGACTGGCTCCAGACCTCATTGGGGGTCTCCATAAAACCACCACAGCCCAGGAGGTGGGTTTGGATTGTATGATATGCCCAACTCCAATTTTAAAGAGATAGCAGAAGTTCCAATGTTCTGAAGAGATGTTAGCCATGTCCATAAACTGAGGTTATGTCAAGACAGCAGGGATACCTTGTATTCCGCACAACAACCAACTTCTTGGATGTTTTGCCTCTTCAAGGTCAACCTCCCTCTCATAATAAATATTTTGGGCAACAAGTGATTTTTTTTCAGCACCCATCACTTGGTATCTTGGGGGACTGGGCCCCTCCTTTTTCTTTTTCTGTTGCTTTCACAGCTTTTGTGACCTCTAGGTCTACACTGGAAGAAGATTTTGTTCTGGTTCTAACATTAACCAGTTGTGTGCCACATTCTTGTTGAGCTTCAGTTCCCAAATATGCTATGTAAGATTATAGGATTTGGAAAGAACCTTTGAAAAAAGTCCCAGGATACACACACACACACACACACACACACACACACACACACTAATTTGTCTGCATGTATGTCTGTGCACCACTTGCATGAAGAGCCTGCAGAGACCGGAGGAGGGCGTTACAGAGTTCTCCTGGCTGTTGGTAGTCGCCATGTGGGTATTAATACCCTAACCCCAGTACCCTCTACCACATAATTTATATTTATATTTTTTATGCCTTTTTATTTCTCTTTTAGCTCTCAGGCACAGACATAAAAGAAGTGGGAAGAATTAGTGAATCCACGCCAAAATCCTAAACTTTCCCAAAACATTCAGTTTGACTAGTAGAGATTTGGGCAGTGCCACCATCCCTGTGGGACAGCTCATGAAGACTCAGGTGCCTGTCAGTCCTTCTCGGTCCTCACTAGAGGGCGCACCTCTCCCAGAGCACTTCTGTGTTTTCCCTGGTTTCTCAGCACCCGAAAGTACAATACTGGATTATCACTTGCCTAATGAAGCTTTCCAAGGTTGTGTGACTCCAAGGGCCAAGGAAATGGATGGGTGGGGGAATTTTGAAAAACAAACAAGTAAAAATGTATTTACAGCTCTTCGGGAGAAATTCATTCCCTAGAGCAAAGGGCACATCCGGGGCTCCCCCTGGTCTTCCTGCGTGGGCGTGCAGTTCCCTAGATTCAGCAGGGTTCCTGGGGCACGCCCTTAACACTGTCCATGTTTGCGGGATCCCAAGTAGGTAGGAATCCGGAGTAAGGTCTCTTCACAGGACAGTGGTAATAGTTAAGTCTGGGGTCACGAACTGTTTTCGTTGCGGGTTATCGAAGATGAGAGGTGAGTTTCCTGTGGCCTGACTGCTACAGTCTTTGTCGCTTAGATCCAGAAAAGCGCGAAGAGCGCTGGGCCGAGTGTAGTGAAGAATCACCACCGCAGCTCCCAGGAGGAGGCTCAGGATGCCTGCACCGGAGGACGGAAAGACAGAGTCAGGGGTGCAGGCGCTCCTCATCATCTGGAGCACATCCCTGGAATTTCCTTACACACACAACCTCAGAAAGAACTCTTAGGTGTATTACTCGATGCAGGAGTTCCTTTGCTAACTGGGGCAAGATACTGAACCTCCCGTACTAGTTCTACTCAATTGTAAAATGAGAGTAGCAATGCCTGCCACACCTTCACCTGCTATCGAGAGGAAGAAATTAAATAAGAAATCATTCTATAAGCTGGATAGTGCACGTCTTTTACACATCCCGGTCATCACCAGGTGAGCATCCCTTGGTACTCACCGGTGGCCAGTGTGACCCAAAAAGAGGCGCCATAGTGAGGCGTGAGGGTGGCGGAGCCCAGGTGGAAGGGGCAGAGTGGCACACTGGAGACCGAGGCAAAGGCGAAGACAGCGAAGAGCGTGAAGGCGCTGGTGGTGAGCAGAGCCAAGCCTCCATAGAGCTGGGCCGGCATGGAGAGCAGCGCATTGGCGATGATCCAGAAGCAGAACGCCACCCTGTGAGGGACCGAGGCAGCGCCGTGAGCAGGATTCCCTGGCCAGACCTGCAGGAGGCGCAGGCGAATCCCGGGGAGAGCCGGCTCCCGCGCCCACGGTGGCTGGGATCCCCATGGTTTTTTGCAGACATTCCTGCCCACGAGGCTGCAGTTCCAACCCGCAGCTCCTGAGGCCCAACTCTCCCGGTCACAAGTACCCCGCCGCATCCCCACTACATGCTCACCACAGCGTTGCTGCGGCATAGTGTCCGGCCAGGTGATACTGGTGGTACAGCCCGCAAGGGCTGCTGGGTGTGAACTTCTCTGCCAAGTATAGCACTGGGTCCGGCAATCCCTTCTCCAGGGCATCAACGTACTCCTTGGTGTAGTCTTCGTCCAGATGCCACGTGAAACGCTCATTGTAGTCAATGGTCTCGTTCAACTGCTGCACCGGTGTTCCTGCGGGAAGACATGAGGTCAATGCTCTTTGCAAGGCCAGGGACCCGGAAACTGAACACATTCAGATAAGGAACTAAAGGTGGGGCAACTGTCGGGAAAGAGAAAGCTTGAGTGCTAACTGGGGGAAAACCCAAATCCACGTCATCAAAGGCTTTCTGAGCCAGAGGGATGCGAAAGATCCTCTAACATCCCATGCCACTGAGCTCTGAACCACCAGCCCCCCAGAATTCACTTTGTCCCAGCCTCCTCACCTTTGAGTGTAATATTGACTCCCACCAGTCCCACGTGCAGACCGACATGGACTTGAACACGCGCTGTGCTGAAGGCTTTGTAGGATGTATTGGTCCACACTGCCCCCACGAACCAGTCTCCACTGAAGTGCACAGCTATGGGGAGATGTGCACAGTGACTTGTGGATGAGGGAGAGAGTGGGAAGGTGATAGGAGGTGGGACAGAAAGATGAAGGTATGGGTCTTGGGACCTGGTGTAATAGCAGGGTGAGGGCAGAAAAGTGGGCATTAGCCAAGCACAGTAGTGGAGAGGGGGGTAACTTAGGCTAGTAAGCACTCCTCAAGGTCAGCCTAGACTACATATCGACAGTCTCAGAAAACAAAACAAAACAAATAAAAAAAAAACAGCAAAAGACCATCTGGGGTGACAGAAATAGGTACAGAGTAGAAGAGGGGTCGTGAAGCCAAGTTAGTTTGTGCTACTTGCCAGTCCTTCCCGACTTCAACTCCTGTCCCCACAAGTTGCACTCACCCACAATTTCTGCACCGATGAAGAGACTAAGAAGAACTCTGACCATCCAGAACCAGCGCTGTGGGAAAAGACAGACCCTCAGGTCACAATTGGGTATTACCCATCCCACCCTCAAGACCCCCCTTTCTGACCTTTTGAGGCTTCAGGTTCCTCTAGCCACTGGCTATTTTCTGGTTGTGTGCTTGACCATTTATTTCCCCACCCTATTTTCAGGTCCACATTGCCTGGCACTCTCTGACCACCTTTTACCCCCAGCTGTCTGGCGCCTGGCAGCTACCTCTAGTTCAATCACAGCTCGGTGAGGCTCAGTGAGTTCAGAAGTGCCAGGCAGGTGGGGTCACCTCTCCCAGAAGAGGGAGGCCCCAGGACCTGTTTGTCAATGAGAGGAACTGTGGATATTTCTAGATGTGCCAGTTCCCCCCAAACCAAAAAACAAAACAAACAAAAGAATGCAGGAAAAACTGGAGGTCTTCTCAGACTTAAAAAAAAAAAATTACAGTTCAGGATCTGGGGGCTGGGTTGCTACAAGTTTGAACCCTCTGTGGAACCCTCTTCAACAGAACACAGTAAGGAAAACGCAAAACACAAAGGTCTAAATTTGCCGGTGTCCATCCTCTTGGCCAGCTTATTGTTCAGAGGACAGGGCAAGGCTACCGGTATTGAGAGAGAGAGAGAGAGAGAGAGAGAGAGAGAGAGAGGGGGGGGGGGTGGGTCCTGGCAGCACCCAAAGCCGGGACTTCTGGGATGGTTCCCACTTTTTCAGCAGCCTCCAAAATAAGGCAGTTAGAACCTCTTCCCGGGAAGTCCTGAACCCGGGACTGTCCCCCTCCTCGTGAGGAGTCGATTGCTGCACCAGAATTCTAAATTTGCTGTTGCTGAGCCTCAACTATTCACGAAGCATCTTCCTTAGTCTTGTCTATCCTGAGTCTCTGAGAAATGCTCTCTGTGTCACTCTTTCACACAACGACATGAGCTTCTAGAATTCCCTAAGGAGAGCTTTTAGTACCCTCTTACCGAGTGACCACGAATCCCGGGCAAGATGAACAGGAAGCTGACCGCTAAGCACAAGAATACCAGAATGACAATGATCAGCGGGATGCTGAAGCCCGCCGCGTGCCTGGGCTGGGGGTAAAAGGGCATCACCCCGTCCCACGCAGTCATCTTGCAAGAAGTGCAAGAACTGCTTTTTTTTTTTTTTTTTAAGTCTGAGCCCCGCGGCTCTCCTAAAAAGCGCGGAGGCGGGATCCTGACGCTCTTGTTCTTGACTTGGCTGCTTCGAGTAGCGTAGCAAAGAAACACAGACCCCCCTTTTATAGGAGCGTGGGCAGCAAGAAGGGGAGGCGTCCGGTCTAGGTGGCAGGGTCCTGTCCTGAGATCAAGCAAACGAGGGCGGGGACATGCAAATAACGGCAACCTAGCTCCTTAACTGGAGGCCAAGCCTCTGGTCCACACACTCACGCCTGCTGCTGTGGCGTGAGGGCACACCTGCGAGACAGAACCCAGCGTGAAGGTTGAAAGTGCATCCGGGAAGTGTGAAGATTCTCGGATCTGCGAGAGTGGAGTTCGAGAAGCAGATCTTAGAAACAAAGTCTCCAAGAACAAGGAAGACTGTGGAAGCGGACCGGAGCCTTACACCAGAGGTTGGGTCCTCCTAGCCCTCTCATTTTTTTCTTTTTCTTTTTCTTTTTTTCCTCTTATTTTTCAATGCCCGTTCACTACAGATGAGGAGGAGGTTGGCTGAGGGCCCCTGGCTCTTAGTTCATTAGACTCTCTCCTTTTCTGACACCTCCTGGAGAACAAACAGTATGTGGAGAACTGGAAAGAGAGTACCAGGTCTTGGAGCAAAGCCCCCCCCCCCCCGAGGGTGAGACAGTCCTGCTAGAGATTAGAAACCCCAAAGGACTCCTGCCCGGGTGTTCCTGTGGTTGAAATCAGTACTCCGATAGGGTTTGGGTGGAGGACAGTCTCAGTGCCTCCTAGGTTGTCCCAGAAAGCGCGTCGTGAAGATGGAGGACCTGGGTAACGCTTGTCTGCTCCTATTTCAGTACCAGCTGTAGGAGTGTGTGTACTTCACACACTACCTCCCACCTCCAGGCTGCAGGGACAGCATGCTTCCAGCAAGCCCCAAAACACTAGTGCTCCTGGGCGCTCTACTTACTGGACCCCTGAGTCCAGCAGGTAAATAGAAGGGACCTCTAGCAGAGAGGGGTCAGCCAGTGTCCCATTGGAAGGTGGAAACGGAGAGGTGCTGTTGCGCCTGTAAGCTGGAAGGGCTGGTCCATCTCCGATAGGGTTTGTGAAATGGAAGATTTCTGAGCGCTCTCCACCCCCCCACCCCCCACCCCCCGCCCCGACAAGGACTGGAAATAGAATCGCTGGAAGGATGCTAAACCTATTGGATCACCATAGGGTCTCTGGGAGGTTAGTGTTAAATGGAAGGCTCTCTGCTCCCACAGGTGGCCAGGATGCACCCTCACTGCCCTGGGAAGTGCAGCGCTACGATGGCTGGTTTAACAATCTGAAGTACCACCGGCTAGGTTCTGCTGGTAAATCCTGGGATCTGCGGGGAAGGCGGGGTCGCAGCAGCTCGGGCTTCAGTTGGAGTGTAGTGGCCATCGGAATTACATTCACACCACATTCTTTTGCATTCCTGAGGCCAGGAAATGTGGGGGTGGGGTGGGGGCAAGGGGAGAGAGGGGATGGAAGGGAGAGGAAGGGGGCAGGGTAGGAGATCCTTTCAGTAAAGGTCCGGGTGTGGAAACTGCGAAAGTCCAGGTTTGGGACTTGGGGATCGGGAGCCCCGATCCAGCTCAGCTCTCTTGTCTCCTCCAGGCTCGCGTCTGCAGCGCCTAGTACCTGCTAATTATGCGGACGGCGTTTATCAGGCTCTGGAGGAGCCGCTACTGCCCAACCCTCGGCGGCTGAGCGATGCTGTAGCTGAAGGCAGAGCCGGGCTGGCCTCTATGCACAACCGCACCGTGCTGGGAGTTTTCTTTGGTGAGTGTAGGAGGAAACCAGTGTAGGGAGTCCCACGGCAACTTGAAGCAAACAAATACTCTCTAAGAAGCGCTTCTGCTGTCATCTTCGAGTACTTGGGTGCGATGCGATGCAGGGATATTTCTCACATCATACTCCAAACCAACAAGTTCCATTGGGTCCCCATTAGAACTCTAAGGAACTAGATGCCCTGGCTCTTTGCTCTCCCCAAGACTCTAATGATGCTAAGTAGAGGTGAAGGGAGCTTTTTAATCATATCATTTTGGATTCTCGCAAAAAAACGTCCTGTTTGCCTATTAGAAAATCGAGACTTGTGGGAAATGGTCTGGTAGACAGCGTTGGCGCTTGTGCTCTGACCTCTGCCTTTTGTTCCCTGAGGCCTTCCTGGTCCGAAGGAGAGCAGGGCCAGAAGATTGACTGACTACTTTGCCCTCTTAACCTAGGCTACCACGTGCTGTCGGATCTGGTGAGTGTGGAAACACCAGGCTGCCCTGCAGAGTTCCTCAATATTTATATCCCACCTGGAGATCCCGTGTTCGACCCAGACAACCATGGGGACGTGGTGCTGCCCTATCAGAGGAGCCGCTGGGACCCCAAGACCGGACAGAGCCCCAGCAACCCCCGGGACCTGGTGAGGACAGGCAGCCAGACAGGAGGGCAGGCAGGCTGGGAGGGACAGCTGCATAGGCTGGAGACCTGGGGCCTGGCTGGGAAGGCTGGGCAGGGTGAGGCTCTTTCCCACCCACAGCTACCTGACCCCACGCACCCACATGTCCCCACAGACCAACCAGGTGACTGGATGGCTGGATGGCAGTGCCATCTATGGCTCTTCTCACTCCTGGAGCGACTCCCTGAGGAGCTTCTCAGGAGGACAGCTGGCATCAGGGCCCGACCCCGCATTCCCGCGCGAGTCCCAGGACCAGTTGCTCATGTGGATGGCACCGGACCCTGCCACGGGGCAGGGAGGGCCACGGGGGCTGTATGGTGAGACTGAGGGGTCCTGGCAGGAGGCGCAGGGCTGGAGGCATCAGGTTGCTGGGTGTGGGGTGGGAGCCGGGCTGGAGGGGTCTGCCTGTGGGTGTGGGTTCCCCTGGCTCATGCTATGGCCCATCTCCTTTCTCTGCCCCCCCCACCATCTCCACTTGGATGCAGCCTTTGGGGCTCAGCGCGGGAACAGGGAGCCCTTCCTGCAGGCACTGGGCCTGCTGTGGTTTCGCTACCACAACTTGTGTGCCAGGAGGCTCGCCCAGGAGCACCCACACTGGGGGGATGAGGAGCTGTTCCAGCATGCGCGCAAGAGGGTCATTGCCACCTACCAGGTGAGTGGTGATGCCTGCCCCGTTCCCACCTGTGTGTAGACTCGGCTTCCCTAGCAAAGTTTCCCCAGTCTTGGACAATGTCTCTTTCCCTGAGGCCCGTGTTCCCATAGGGGTCAACGTCTAGGAAAATATGAAAAGCCCCTGCAGATGTTTATAAGGATGATTTTGTTTGTGATTTAATTTAGTTGCTCCCCTACTCCCTACAACTGGCCTTGCCTGGGTCTCATCTCTGCACCTAAGCCTTCCTCCCTCATAGGCTCATTCCAATGTCTCCTTTCTTCTTGCTAACCCTCAGAACATTGCTCTATACCAATGGTTGCCCAGCTTCCTGAGGAAAACGCCCCCAGAGTATTCAGGTAAGGCAGAGGAGGTTGTGAAGGGCAGGGAACACCTAAGCTGAAGATCTACAGAAGAAGGGAAGGTAGATTTGTGATGCCAGGGTATGAGCTAAGGCACATGTCTTCATGCAGGATACCGCCCTTTCACGGACCCCAGCATCTCCCCAGAGTTTGTGGTGGCCTCTGAACAGTTCTTCTCCACCATGGTCCCCCCTGGCGTCTACATGAGGTAAGGGAAGGGCTTCTGGTGGAGCTGCACGATGTTGGAAGTAGGTATTCCTTGAGTGGGCTTGGAACTTGGGGTGTGCACATCCCTCCACAGTTTCAACAGAAGAGAAGCAGAATGGGGTGGGGCACTGAAACAGGATCCTGGGGTGGCAGGGCTCCATAGGAAAACAGTCTGCTCTCCTAATAGCAGAATTTTTTTTTCCTGAGTGTGGGGTATGTCTGCAGCTGGGGTACCTTCTCACCTCCCACCAGCTATATATCATAGAGATCACTCTATCTTCAAATCCTCTCAATGTTCAAGGAAGTTCATGGGTCACTCTTCACTCTTGGCCAGCCTGCAGAATTGCTCAGCCCCAAATTCCTTCATTGTATTTTTGACACTCGATTTCAGAAACTCCAGCTGTCATTTCCGGAAATTCCCGAAGGAAGGTTCTGGCAGTTCTCCAGCTCTCAGGGTCTGCAACAGCTACTGGATTCGGGAGGTTAGTATGGGGTCAGGGTCAGAGAGTAGGGGGTCATGGTCACTCATCATAAATGCTTGGAAAATAACACTTCCGGTTCCTGAGTAGTGTGTGGGGGGGCGTTATCTGGGAAGAATTGTCCAGTAGAGTCTGGAAACTCCTGAGCACAGGGCAATGTGCCTGCTCTCCCAGCTGCCTAGGAAGCTGAGGCGGGACTATGCCTGGAATGCAGGTGTTCAAGATCTGGGCAGTCTACCAAGCAGAGAGGAAAAGGAAAAGAGAATGAGAGAGAAAAAGGGGGCGGGGCACGGGAGAGTGGGAGGGGAGGAGAGGGAGAGCTAGAAAGGCAGAGAGGACCATTCATCCTATGGTGCAACTGTGGTCCAAGGTAAGTGTTTCATTCTCTTCCAGAACCCCAATCTGAAGAGCGTCCAGGAGGTGGATCAGTTGCTGCTGGGAATGGCCTCCCAGATTTCAGAACTGGAGGACAGGATAGTAGTTGAAGACCTGAGAGGTGAGCTCAGAGGTCAGGGTGTCACAGCTAGGGGACTGAGGATGCTTCTGGGTTAGTCAACAGTCAGACCTACGGTACTTATGATGCAGACACACACAGATAAACACTCACAAACTTCAAGCAGATGTCAGAAGAAGGTGAAATTTGAGTCCCCCTTAATTTATAGTTTTGTGTTGCTTTTATTTTAAGTTAACTATGGTGGGCATGGGAGCAGCAACACAAGTGAACACCAGATTTCTGGTGTTTACTTAGGTCTTAAGGGTTCTTATCCAGTTCTGTTTTAAAGTTGGGAGGCACAGAGAAGGGAATTTCTGGTTGGTATCAA